CCTGTATGCAGGTCTTCTTGGCAGATGCCTCACAGCTCTGGCATCACTAACTTCTTGGGGTCTCCATTGCCAACCAGGCTTCACCTTCACAGCCTCATGAAATTGGCTATCAGTGCCATCTCTATGCAGTTAAATCCCTGCTTCATGCTGCCTGGCATCCAATGCTCTCTGAAATCTCAGAGGAAGAATTGATGACCCCTTCACTCTTCCATCTTTCATGCCTCTAAAGCCAGAACCAGGTGAATGACACTGCCAAGTTTGACTGCAAGTTTGGGGTGGACTCCAGCCTGCTTTATCCATTTTAGAAGCTTTTCTCTTCCATGACCCTTGCAGTATTTTCCTTTCACAAGTTGGAGGCTTAACTGGCTGTAGTCTTGACATGGAGGCACTCTCTCCACTGTTTAAGTCCAAATTTCTAGAGCCCTCCTTAATCACTTTAATCTCTTTATCAAAGGGATCTTCTCCAGCACATGCCAAGGCTCAAGCATTTATCTTCCTAGTGCTCTTTTTCGATCCAAGCTGTATTTCTTTCTGCCCCATTTACTCTTTTTCACTGTAGATCTGCATAATATTCACTATTAATATCCATGCCACCATTTCTACATTAGGCTGTCTTGAAATTTCTTCCACAAGAGAAATTAATCCATTGCTTTTCAACTTACCCTCAGGCAAGCTTTTTGGCTGTGGGCAGACTCCAGCCAGACTCTTTGCCAAAATGTCCAAAGTGTGCTTAAGTCCTTATTTCCTTCTGCGAATACATTGTTCTCAGTGCAACTTTCTTCCAGGTGTTTACTAGAAAGGCCTGTTAAGCTCTGCCTACAAGATTCAACCTCTTTTCTAGCCCAAACTTCCAAAGTCTTCTACATTTTTCCAAAACCCCACATGGTCAAGTTCTTCCAGCCAACAGCCCACTCTCTGGTAACAATTACCTTATTAGTCACTTTTCAGTTGCTGTTATAGAAACACTGATGCAAGCAACTTAGAGAAAGAGAGTTTATTTGAGCTTTCAGTTCCAGGGGAATTACACTTCATCATGGCAGGGAGGCATGGTAGCTGGAGGTGGCTGGACCAGGAGCAGCAGAAGCTAAGCTCTCAAATCATCCCAGGCACAGGAAGGAAGAGAGTGACTGGAGATCTGGAAAGGCTTAAGAACTCTCTAAGCCCACCCCCAGTGACGTACTTCCTCCAGGAGAGCTACACATTCTAAATCCTCCCAAAGCAGCGCCTCAATCTGGGGGCAAAATGTCCAAACACTTGGAGCCTATGGGGGACATTTTCATTCAAACCATCACACCCTGTTTCCATCTCCTGCTTTACGGACTCTTCCCTTCAGGAAGTGACCTCAGACAATCATTTAAAGGGATGACCTACCCAGCCATGAATTCTTCATCAGTGAGAGGAGCTGGTTGCTGTGACAGAGGCAGTGAGCACCTGACATTTCAGGTCTTCTGAGCAGGTCCCTAGGCACCATGCTGGTACATGGCATCAAAGCAATGGCTTCTGGGACTTCCTGTATCCAGGATAAGGGATTAGGCATTGAACTTCACCTTGGAGTGTTCCAGTTTCAGGAGCAGAGTTCATGGGTGCACAGAAAGGAAGTTGAACCAAGGATCTCTTTCCTCTTATCAGAAGAGTAAGCCCTTCCTGTAGGAGGAGGTACCAACTCTGGGAGTACAGTGGAAAATTAGATTCAGGGTAGGGGAGTGGCTTCATCCAGTTCTTTGTTTCTCTGACTCTGTCTTTCAGAGTGACTATTTTGTGAGGACTGGTGACAGGAAAGCATTTCTAGTTTGACTTGCTGTGAGCTGGGCCAGATGAAGGTAAGCACGGTGGGAGGCTGAGCATCCCCAGTGAAACTTTCCATGTGGGTTCCATGAGTGTGGAGTCATGACCCCCTCAATCCATCCCCTGCCCATACATATACACTTTTGAATCAATGACCCCAGAACCTTGGTCAAATTTTTAGCATCTCCACCTTTGAGAAAAGATGCCCAGTTTGACCTACAGCTAAGGTCTTTTCTGTGTTTCTGGCTGCAGCAAAGAAGCCAGAGCCTCGTGCAGTACCTGAGAAGGAAAGGTAAGTGGCTCTTCGAACCCCTTTGATATTATTTCTGCATTCTGGGTTTCCTCAGGACAGAACCTGTGGGTTTGTATTCATGAGAGGGCCCAAAGGGAGGCCTGTCCTGAGACTTTTAGCTTCCTGGGTGCTATTCTCCAGGGCACATTGTTTTTTTTTTTCTTTTTTCTTTTTTCTTTCTTCTCTTTTTCCATCTCCTGCTTTATGGTCTTCCCTTTGGGAAGTGACCTGATACTATCATTTGAAGGGATGACCTATCCAGCTATGAATTCTGTATCAGTGAAAGGGGCTGGTTGCTGTGCTGGAGGGAGTAAGTGCCTCACATTCTATGTCTTCTGAGAAGGTCCCTAGGCACTGTGTTGGTCCATGTCCTCAAAGCCATGGCTCCTGGGATTTCCTGTCTCCAGGGTAAGGGATTAGGCATTGAACTTTACCTTGGAGCACTCCAGTTTCAGGAGCAGAGTTCACGGGTGCACAGAACGGAAGTTGAAGAGGCTGCAGTGCTGGCAGGGGCATGAATGTACAGAAATGCCCTCTAAGTGTCACTGGGATCTTTTCTACCACCTTTTGGGAGTGGAGTGACGTCCTTTGAGATATGTCTCCCAGTCCCATGTTCTGCTTCTGCATTCCCAGGTTGAGTACACAATGGTCACTAAGGTTCTGCTCTAGTGAAGCTTTCATCCACAGGGAGAGCTTTGCAGGGTTCATGGGCCCCAGGAAATGGGATTGGCCTGGGTGTCCATTATCAGCTGAGAGGCTTGACCAATGAAGGCCTCTGGACTGACACCATTTCAGGACATTATCTTAAGGGCTGAAATGTCAGGAACTTGCGTGAAAGCTGAAATCATGACCCCTAAGAGTGAAATCCAGGCCCCAAACCTACTCGTCTGCCCTAGTCAGGCATGTGTTCTTTCGGGTGGAGGTTTGACATCCCCCCTGTTTACTCTGGGGAAGCAGTTATATATGGAGGCCTGTCTGTGGTCAGAATGGTGCTAAGGTGAGCCTGGAGATACCAGGGATGGGTGGGAAGGGGTAAGAGCTTCTCAGCCCATGTTTCCCTGACAGCATCCAGGGCCACATTAGTGCCACTCGACCTCTGCTGACAGAACATTCTAGTCCCAGGTTCTCATCTGGTGGCTCGTGTCCTTCTACTATCTCTAGAACAGCATATGTCAGGCTTCTCCACATTGAGAGTGTGGATGTTCTCAATTGGCAGTGTAAGCAAACTATCTCCTGTGCATTACTGTTCTTCTGCCCTAATCCAGCAGGCAGGCTCTTCTAGAAACAGCCTGGCAATGGAAATGGTTACTTGTGGAGAGAGTGCTTCTCTGGATCGATGATGAGACCAACTATCTGTGGATGCTGAGGGACTCATAACAAATGGCAATCTGAAGTTCAGATGTGTAGCCTCTGTGGAGCTGACTAAGATTCTCAGAGCTTCACATTGCTTTGGGCCTGCTGCCCAATAGGTCAAAGGCACATTGGTCAGATTTCTCCTCCTAGGCTGAGAGGCTGTGTGCATCAATCCTGTGGTCATGGACCGAGAGTGCTGGCCTTCCTTTCTCCCATTTGCCACACAGCTCTGGAAATGTGGAGGGGGCCAGGGTGTTCTTGAGCCACAAATGGGGAGGTAGGGAAGAGCCCATCAGGACAGGGTCCAATACCAGAGATTGTACTGTGGGTCTCTTTCCTCTTGCCAGAAGTGTAAGCCCTTCCTATAGGAAGAGATCCCATTTCCAGGAGTACAGTGGGAGCTTAGATTCAGGGTAGGTAGTTCCTTTTTCTGGGTCTTTGTTTCTCTGACTGTCTTTTGGAGTGACCATTTTGTGAGGACTGTGGTGTCAGGAAAGCCTTTCTAGTATGACTTGCTGTGGGCTAGACTAGATGAATGTAAGCACGGTGGGAGTTTAGTATCCCCAGTTAAACTTTCCATGAGTGTGGAGTCATGACTTTCACAATCCATCCTCTGCCCTTACGTGTACACTTCTGTATCAGTGCTGTGGGCAAATTTTTAGCATCTCCACCTATGAGAAAAGGTGCATGATTGGACCTAGAACTGATGTCTTTTCTCTCCTTTGTGGCTACAGAATTGTAGCCACAGCATCGAGGTGTACCTGAAACAGAAAGGTAAGTGCTCCTTGAGCCCTTTCAATGTGCTTTTTACATTTTGGGTTTCATCAGGACAGACCCTGTTGGTTTGTGTTCATGAGGGGTCCAAAGGGAGGCATATCATGAGGCTTTTATATTCCTGGGTGTGTCTCTCCAGGACACATCCTTTTTATTTCTTCTCCCATTTTGACCTCTTGCTTTATGGACTCTTCCCTTCAGGAAGTGACCTCAGACTGTCATTTGAAGGAATGACCTATCCAGCCATGAATTCTGTATCAGTGAGAGGAACTGGTTGCTGTTTTGCAGGCTATCAGTGCCTGAAATTCTAGGTCTTCTGAGTATTTTCCTAGGCATCATGCCATTAAATGGTATCAAAGCAATGGCTGCTAAGACTTCCTGTCTGCATTGTAAGACATTAGGCATTGATCTTCATCTTGGATCTCTCTATTTTCAGGAGCAGGGTTCAAAGGTGCTCATAAAGGAAGTTGAACAGGCTGCAGGGCTGCAGGCCATGAATGTACAGAAATGCACTCTAGGCATCTCTAGGATCTTTTCTACTACCTTTTGGGAATGGATTAACTTCCTTTGAGATATGTTTTCTCTTCCCAAGTTTCTCCTTTGTTGGCTCATGTCCTTCTACTATTTCTAGACCAACACATATCAGGCTTCTCCATGTTGAGTTCTGAATTGGCAATGTAAGCAAAAAGTCTCCTGTGCATTACTGTTCTTCTGCCCTAATCAAGTGGACAGCCTGTTTCTCTTCCACAAACAGCCTGGCTGTGAAAATCCTTATTTTTTTAGAGAGTGCTTCTCTGGATCAATGATGATACCAACTGTCTGAGGAAGTTGAAGGACTCAGAACAAATGACTATGTGAGGTCTGGTAGTTCAGCCCTTGTGTAGATGCCTAAGATTCTCACACCCTGGTTTGACTGCCGCCTCCTGCCAGACAGCTTGAATGTACCTTTGTCAGAATTTCTCATCCTATCCCATGAGTCCATGTACTTCAATCCTTTTGTCAGTGCCCAAGGGTGTTGGCCTTCCTGTCTCTCATTTGCCTTATAGCTCTGGATATGTGCATAGGCATGAGGTATTCTCAAGCCTGGCTATGATAATACTTATTTATTGAGATAGTGTATCTTTCAATTGATGATGAGAACATCTGGCTTATGTTGCTGAGAGACACATACAAGTGGCAATCTGAGGTACCGATGTATGCTCTTTGATAAGAATATTTCTGTCTCACTGCCTAGCTTGACTTTGGAGCTGTAAAGGACAATATGAAAATTCAGTGGGCACCCATTAGCATCCTATCTTTTGAGAGCATGTGGATATTTTGTGTTTTCAGTGTCCATGTCTCCTATCTTTTCTCTCATTAGCATGACCTCAAGAATTATATCCAAGACTCACAAAGCCAAATCATGCATATTTTTTAAATGGTTATTTGTCCTTCTGTCTGTGTTATTGGCAGACACAAATGACTCAGAAAATAAGAGATCGCTTGTGAGTACATTCTGTCCTAGTACAAATTATACAAATATCTCAAGGAAGTCACTGAATTCCAAACACATAATGTAATGATGTGTAAGGGTCATTTTATGCCAGGAAAGTACTACAGGGAACCCAGATGGTCAAATCAAGCTTTCACTGAATGGCTGATGGCTGGTGATAGCTCAATGGAAAGAGTGCTAGTTTGTATTGCAGAGAACTTGAGTTCAATTCCCAGCACCCACATGGCAGCTAACATTTGTCTGTAACTCCAGTTCCAGGAGATCTAATGCCCTCCTCTGATCTCCATTGGGATTGCATGACACAATTGTACTTATGTACATACTTACAATATAATCATTCACATAAAATAAAAATGAATTTTTTTTCATGGTCTGGAATCTTTATTTTGGTACAAAGTTCAGTATGTCATGAATAAGGTTGTGAGGAAGCTAATGTTGCAAGGGAAACTCAGATGAAGTTTTTTCTTTTTAAAAAAAATCATTTTT